ATTATCCCGATTGTGAGATTGAAATTTTTCACGCATTCTAGCCTTTTGATGAGTGTTTAGGGACGTCTTCCTCTTAATATTTCTTCATCAGACTCTTCGTTTGAATCAATCGTTTTTGTTCTCCTACGAGGCTTCTTCTTGTACGATCTTCTGTGTGTATCTTCTTTTATATGTTAAAAATTAAATTTAACTTAATTGTACATTTTAATCATATTTGAATGTGATTATATATTTTTAATGGTCAATTATTTTATTGTAAGAGAGGCTAGACCAAAGTAGAGTACTTAAAAACAATTTGCGTTAACTTTTATTAAACGCATAAATTAAATTAAAACGGCAGGTTCTTGTTAGTCTTGGAAAATTCTATCAAATTATGTCTTATTTAAGATTTTTAAATATCAACAACTATGCTTTTAGAGCCGTTATACAAAAACTTGTATTCCTTATGCAAAAATTCGAAAATGTGTAGTTAAACACAATTACACCTATAAAGGGTATTTGGAAAAAGGTAAATAATTTAATCACGCAAAAATATTTATAAAAATATCGTTGGTACCCCACTTACTTTACCTATGTTTCCCCTATATTTTTCCCAGTATTACTTGAGCTCCTGTTACTTTTGTAAGATTTTTCAGGACTGTTTGATCTACTACGTGAACAATATCTACTACCGTTGGCAGTGCTTGCTCCCAAAGTGCTCTGGTCAATATAATTACTTTCGACTTGCCTCGTTTTTTCTAAAGAACTTCGTAGTAATATTTGCTTTGTTTGTTCAAAATTATTCATTTTATTATTTGAAAATCTACTATTTTTATTATCTTTAACCTAAAATGTATAATAGTAATTTAAAATTAGTTATTAAATAAAAGTAAGTAATTTATTTTTTTTACCTTAGATTTATTTTTCTTTGATTGTCGCCTCTTCATATGGCCATCATCGCTGTTACCATGATCACTGTCGCAGGATTGTGATGTACCTTCCCTGCTAAAACAAGGACATTGATTCGGATTGGAAAAAGTCCAATCCGCTTTAAGTCTAATTCTGAATCCCGAAAATGACAATTAAAATTGATTGACAAAAGAGCATAGAAGTGACAGTATTCAAATGAATTGCAATTAAATATCATTGAATCGTATTGATACTGAATATGAATCTTATCCCTCTGAATCGCTTTTAATACTATTTTTATGAATATATCAATATTTTTCAATGCTTTTTTATCTGTATTAGAAATGGCACATATAATCGACTTTAATACCGGTTTTGGGTGTTCAAATTTAGACTGAAAATGGATTACCAATCCGGTTTAATCCATATAAATGATTTTTATTCCTTTTAAAGTATATTAATATCTCAACCATTCAATCACATTCTATGTTATTTTTGAGTATTGAGCAAATGTACTTCAATACTTTCTTATTTCTTATCAGAATTGCACATATGATCGACTTTAATACCGATTGTGGATTTTGAAATTTAGACTTAATAAATGTAAAAGGTTCATGTTTTTATTATATAAAATTGTCTTTATTATATAAAATAAATAGTTAAATAAAATGGTTTTTTATATAAAATAAATAGTTAATAAAATAAGAGGTTTGTCTATTTTTATATCCGTATCTACTATATCGTTTCTATTTGATTATCTGAATTTTTATCATTTTTTTCCATTAACCTTAGCTTTGCTTATAGAGAGACTTTCATGTTGATCTATATAGGCCGGACTTTTGTTTTTCTAAAAAACTAGGATATGGCGGTAACACAGAAAGAGGATCAGTATCCTCGTCAGTGATTAGATCGTCACTATCTATTTCTTCATCTGTTTTATCTTCATCGTTCAAATTCACAAAATGTTGGCTACTGAAACAAGTATCGATCAAATATTTGACAATATACTAATTAAATATATATTACTGTCAGATTAGTTTCGATCATGTGGGATTTTCATACAAATATCGTTATAAAAAAGGAATCATGTTATTGGCAACGGAGGTAACTAAAACTGATATAATTATTTAAATATTAATATTTGTGATAATAAATACCTGCATATAAATCCACTTTCATTGTCATCACTTGCATTTTTAGCTACATTATTAGAATTACTCTCGCTCATTTTTTTTTCTTCAATTATGTCACATTTACTTTTATTAGTGCCGTCTATACGAAATATACACAGTATATAAATCATAAATTCATTCTTACATTCTACACGTGTATTATTATAATATGAGTTTTATTTATATGAATTTACCTCTTTCTTTTGGTCTCTTCAAATAGCTGATGCATTTTGAAACATGAGCATCAAAAGCCTTTGATAACTTTTGAAAGTTGTATTCTTCCACAGATACCTTCTTTTTGAATTCATTTTCAATCCAATGTTCGTAAAAATCTGAATTTCATACAAAAAATGTAATATTACATATAAAGACAAATCTGAAAATGTCCTTTTTTAACATTAAAAAGAAAAAGGTTTCTTGGCATCAATTCACAGGAAATACGACAATAAAAAACAATTTAAATTTAAATTATTCGAAAAAATACAAATTTTACCTTTACAAATCAGTAGCTTAGATGGGTCCAAAGCATTTGGCTTTGATTTTTCGGTAGCTTCCCCTTTATCCTTTTTGTTAGCTAATGTTCTATTACTAACCCTTCCAGTGATAGTACTAGCTATCAATACTTCCATTGTAAATAGCGATCTTAAGATGTTTGATACACATTGATATGGTGTTTTAGATTTAAACATTAAATTACTGTACATTTCTGTACTAATGTTTTTGCCTCTTCCAATATGTATCTATTATATTGAGAAAATTTCAATTAAGATAATAATACATTAAGCGGTTATATCAATAAAATACGTTCACAATATTTTACCTCATTAGTTCTTTTATACTCATATCCGACTGGAGCATAGTTCATATCATGGCTAATACTTCCTCCTACCTTATTAAAAAAAGCATCACCAATTTGCTTTTCGATTGCTAAAAGCATAATTATCATTAAAAACTATGATAACGATAGTAACCATATAGCAAACATTCTTTACTCAATTTCAAAAACTATATATATATACACAAAATGTATAAATCACAGGATAAGTATGTGAAATTGAATTTAAAGTTGCAAATAAATAACCATAATTGATAACACGAATATTATCCATTTATTAATCAAAATAAGACTAAAGGTTATTCTATGCGAAGAAAGATGTTTACTACGTACTACTTGACCATAGTTCAATGTTTATTATTAATGTACCATTTAAGAAAATGCAAAATAATTAAGATATATTCTGACGTATTAAAACAGTTTTGTATAAAAATATGGAATCTTCATTTTTTTTTAAATAAACAACAATATAAACAAATCTATAAATTTTCAGATCATTTTCAATCGATTATGCCATCTGCCAGATACTATTGATTAAAATGCACTAATTTTGCATGCAAGCAATATGTGGCACTATGTATGAAAAAAACTTGGATTTCATGCTGTCATTGTATTGTATCAATATTAAGATAAAAATATAAAATTAAATTATATATTTTTTTAGAATTTATACATTCATTATATTAGCTGTTTTAATTCGCTCGAATTCTAATCTAAGACTTATTGCGATAGTTATAAAGATCAAGTGATAGTTTGAAAATCCCTAATCCAGCACAAAGCATATTACTTTACCTGATCATTGATAGTTGAATGTATTACGTGATTATATGAATTTATAACTTTTGATTAATATAGATGCCTTACCGAGTTATATTACAATTCATATACAAACGTATCATGCATATATTTAAATACTTTTTGTAATAGAGCAGCTAAGAATGAAATAAAAATGTGAAACCATATATAAAAATTATAATTAGAAGGTTGATTATAAATGGATGCATGAAATAAAATGTCAGTTCATCCGAATAAAAATCAGCATTAGTTTATCTCTGAGCAAAAAATGTCCTTTCGATTTATCTGAATTTTTTTTTTTGAATGGAAAGGAACAATATGCAATTATTAAATTATTATGCTATATAATATATTGGCTTTTATGGCTATTCAGAATAGCCAATATATTAATAAATTCGCATTTAGCATTCCAATTTTACGTGTTAAGAAAAAGCTATTATATGAATATACCACACGCTAAAAATGTAACGATAAACCACCAAAACTATAAAATAGAAAATATGTATAAAATACAAATAAATGTTTATTACTATCTGGATTTCCCAAAATGTAGATAAGTAGAACGGGAACATGTACTTTTCATTCTTCTTGAGAAGATTGACTGAAAATATAAATTCTTTTTCAATATTTTATTGCATTGTATTTACCTAGTATATCTATATAAATATCAACTAGTTTTCATTCAGTAAAATATATAATGGTATTTTATGGTCTGCTCCGTGTAAATCGATTCAAAAGTATAAAAAATCTATGTTGTAAATGTATGCGAACTTAATGCTTAAAAGAGTCCACATATCCAACTAACAAATTTATAATATTTTTGATAAAAAAATAATACATATTCAATTTAAAAAATATTTTTACATAAATTTATAAGAAAATGCTTCATCGAATCCATTATTCTCACTCTATAATTTTTTTATATCTCAGTTATTCACCCTGTCAATTTATTCAAGAACGGGTGAATGACTAAGAAATTGACAAAAAAATTAACACTGAATTAGACTGCTAGATTATACGAAAATGTCGATAATTGCCTATTTCTATTAATTTGACGTGAACTAGCTCCCGGATGTCAAACATCCTCGACACTAGTATATAGAACAATATTTTAGTATCTTATGAAATCCTACAACGATTAAAATTCGATAATTGATCAAGATGATTAGATTTACATATTTTTTTAGAAATTATATTAGTTAAGAGAAATAAAAATGAGAATCGGTTTTTAAACTTGAAACATGGTTTCATTAAAGTACTTCGGAGGTATGATTCAAATTTTGCTAGCCTTTTGCAGTAAACTCAAAACCGAGACATTACTTATATTGAAATTACTGTAGGATCTTACAAGAACAATATAATTTTTGTTTGCTCGAGCGTATATTCATATCACACGAGATAAGTATCTACTTTTCTGCACTAGTTAATTAATGTACTATAGTAATGTGATTCGAAAATTTTAATTACCTAAATAAATTTGTATAATTATAGTGTTATTTCGGTTACGAAAAATACTTTGTTTCAATGTCGCGTGTCCGCAACATATTCTGCTTTTTATGAAATTGGGGAAACGTCGGCAAAATCCAATTGTCTAAACAAATATTGTAAACAAATTTTTCTTTAAAGCCGAACTATTTTAAATAGAAAAGTCATAATATCATTCAGTTACAAAAATAATATTTAAAAAATTATACATTTTTAAACATTATTAACATTCAGTATTATTAAATTTTAAAGTATGCATTTTACGAAAGTATGACAAGAGATCTTTTCTTCTTCAAAAAGATCAATCTTGTTGAAAAAAAATCATTGTCGTAGCTCGAAAAACTAATTTTGTTATTCATTGTTAATTAGCGACTTACATTTTTACCATATTTCTCAAATTTTATGGAAAAGTAAAACGTATTTTGTTTTAATAGTATTAGGTTCAAACAAACTGCAGTATCGATCTATTAAGATAATCAAAATTGTATGCTTACCAAACTGTTCACTTAGCTTATCAAGGACTTGCGATTGCAAGTCAAAGTTTAGAGATTTGTATCTCTCATTTTCCATTTCTAAATTTTTTACTTTTTTCATTAAGATATCATATTTTGCAGTCATTTTTTTAATTTCTCTTTCAAGCTTTCTAATTTTTTCCGTCATTATTAATGAACCTTTGCCTTTGCCAGCATCTCTTTTTGTATTGTTATCCTGTAAAATAAGTAAGTATATACATATAAGTACAATCGGTATTCCAGGAATTTAATACCTTTGGCTGTGAAATACAGCCGAATTGCTGGGTGATTTTTTTTACATAAGAAAAAAATATTAAAAACTTTACTGTTAAAAAGAAACCAAATCGGACCGCTAATCGGATTATAAATAGATATATATCGTTGGTAGGATTGTCTGAACACCCGCCCTTCATACACAACAAAAAGTTAAAAATCCCTAAACTTAAAATGACCTATTTATAAAAAAGAAAAACATAATTTATTAATACACGCGTACTTGCATATAATATACATGCACATGCACCCACAACCACACATATACGTCACACACGTTTTATAAGGTGGCATAAAGGTTAATTGAAAACGATTAATAACTGTTGAATTAAAATTCAGAGTATAAAAATTGATTAAATTTCGTTTTGAAATCATTTTAACCGTTTTTAACAAACCTTGTTTAGCACGGTATTGATTATAAGATATTTACCATTATTAATACATCTTCAGATTTTTTATCACTCTTTAGCTTGCTTTTTAAAGATGTTCCCTCAAGATCAAGTAAAAAATTACTATTACTATCACTAGCAAAAAGTGAAGGTTCAATAATATCAGGTAAAGATTCTTTTTCAATTCTAGTAGGTACTTTTGTAGAGATATCTGTTTTATTACTATCGTGTGAAGTTGATGGCTTTAAATCTAACACATGTTTTATTTTTATTCTTGGAATTTTTGGTAGCATTAAGCTACTGTTACTACTGCACATTTCAAGTTTTCTTTTCAATTGACTTGGTCCAGCATCAAAATTGATATTATCCTCACCACCAGTCTTAATTGTTATCTAACCAACAATAAAATATATCAACCATATACTCCAATTGTGCAAATTGCGAAGATTGAAATGAATAAAAGTGGATTTTTTTTCAAGTTATGGCATCTTTTTCGTTGTTATATTATTTAAAAAAGCTCCAGCATGATCTACACTAATATAAAATTTAAAAAATTGTTTATCGTTTGCAGCAACATCGTATAGTCGGTTATTAAGAAATTTTACGAAGTAATAATCCAATTTCACACAAAACGTAACTAACAATTAATTCATATTAATCGCTCGTTTACAAAAGTTTCTTCAGACTATTTTCAACGCATAGAATTTTTAGACATTTTTGCCAAATATCTTGATAATTTTCACGGCTATCCATATTTAAGAAGTTATTCGATGAGTTTACAACAATTTTTCACTTTGCTACATAATTCAAAGCGTGAGTGAATTTACAATCAAAGAATATAAATAATACCTTATTATCATTCAACATGTTATTCAGCTTGTCTTTTTCTATCATTAAAAGTTTAGCATATTTCCCCCGATGGTTTTCCTTGAAATATAATTAAAATAAATTTCTTATTATAATATCACTCACAAAAGGAGATGCTTAAAATAAGAACTTGATGTTATATAAGGGAGGTATAACTTATAATTATTTTACCTTTTCTTTCATTTTAGCAGCCACAGCTGTTTCATTGGTTACTTTTCTATGATGGTTCGAATCATCTTCTGATGCAGTTTCAACTGCTTTTACAGCTAAATCTTTTCTACTTGCATTGGCAACTTTTTCTTCAACCAACTCTTTTGTATCTATTAATTAATTATTAGAAAATTATATTAAAAATAAAAATAGTTTCAATTGCCATTGAGCAGTATTATATTAAGGAAGCCAGCTAGGGTGCTTTATTGTGTTTGTATATAGATAATGGACTAAGACTTAGTTTTCATTCTTACCTTCATAGTAAAAAATTTGACTTTTAACTAAATCACCACTAGGATCTGTTGTAAAATATTTAATTCTTTTATTGAAAGGTTTGTATTCAAAATTATGATCTATTCTCTCATTAGAAATAATATCATTTATCTTTGTGAGTGCCTTCTTTGTATCTCACATAAGCCCATTTCTGTTTTTGTAAAAGTATATCCATGTCAAAATTTGTATGTACCACTATACTTGTACACAGTAGTTACACAGTTGTATACCAATCACAGCAATATAATTAAAATAAATTTATGTTAATAATAATACAATCTCTGATGAAAAGAACTTCCATGAGACAGTGTGCGCTATTCGATCACGTTAACGACTTATACGATTTGACGCCATCTTTGTTATTTTTTGTCTGGCAGCTGTGCCGGCTGCGCATTATGCATGCGCGGCGCACGGACTGATAGATTATGCTGTATAGTGTAAAGATATATATATATGGGTAATTCTAGGCTATTTCGATTGACTTGTAACCCTTAGGTTACGGATTTTTTTTTAATTTGGCACAATTGTTGTACACATAAAACTGAGATTTTTCCCAAATTTTGGAGACGATACATTAATTATATCAAAAGTTATTAACAATTAAAGAAAAATGATAAAAAATTTTCAAACAGCTATATTTTAAAAACTAATAAAGATATCGAAGTCGGATTTTTTTCAAAATACTTATAATGCCTTAAAATTTCGAAATAATTACAACAATAAACAATAAAAATTTTTTTTCGAAAGTTATTAACTTTTTGTTTAAACAATTGCTAATATCTCAAAAAGTATATTTTTTTTTTGAAAAATTCTTGCTCCTACGTATTCCTGAGGATTTTTGCTATCGAAATCAATCATAAAATTCGAGGGCCCGACGTATCGGAAAGCGTAGCCCTAATCAAAAGAAGACGCCTCGGCGTAAGGCTGCGGTAGCGCTCCAGCGGACTCACGGTCGAAAGGTACTTTAGCTTTAATCTAAAAAACTAATAAAGATACCGAATCGGATTTTTCCCAAATTACTTATAATACCTTGAACTTTCGAAATAATTACAACAATAAACAATAAAAAATTTTTTTCGAAAGTTATTAACTTTTTGTTTAAACAATTGCTAATATCTCAAAAAGTATATTTTTTTTTTGAAAAATTCTTGCTCCTACGCATTCCTGAGGTTTTTTGCTATCGAAATCAATCATAAAATTCAAGGGCCCGACATATCGGAAAGCGTAGCCCTAATCAAAAGAAGATGCCTCGGTGTCCGGTCGCTTTCGACCGTGAGTCCGCTGGAGCGCTACCGCAGCCTTACGCCGAGGCGTCTTCTTTTGATTAGGGCTACGCTTTCCGATACGTCGGGCCCTCGAATTTTATGATTGATTTCTATAGCAAAAATCCTCAGGAATACGTAGGAGCAAGAATTTTTCAAAAAAAAAATATACTTTTTGAGATATTAGCAATTGTTTAAACAAAAAGTTAATAACTTTCGAAAAAAAATTTTTATTGTTTATTGTTGTAATTATTTCGAAATTTTAAGGCATTATAAGTATTTTGAAAAAAATCCGACTTCGATATCTTTATTAGTTTTTAAAATATAGCTGTTTGAAAATTTTTTATCATTTTTCTTTAATTGTTAATAACTTTTGATATAATTAATGTATCGTCTCCAAAATTTGGGAAAAATCTCAGTTTTATGTGTACAACAATTGCTGAGCTTCTTAGAATTATATACCGGCAATCCGTGCTAACTACTATTTGAATTAGAGTTTATTTAAAAAAGAAGAGTTTAGCTGCCTCATATAATTTTGATAACAAATATATTTATCAAACATGTCAAGCAGTAGTAGTAATAGTCATTCGGAAAGTACTAGCAGTACTGAAGAAAGCCCTCAATACCGTAAACGATATAAACAAATGTTTATGCCAGATTATAAACCTGTAAATGTGTCAGAATCAACTCGTAGAAGATGGGCTCGAGTAGGAGAGTTGGATGCTGCTGTAAGGAATGATGGTGAGTCTTAATTTTATTATAAAATCATCAATGAATTCTGAAAATTTTTAGTTCCAGATAATTAATTCACTCAGTAAAATTTAATACAATTTTAATGAACTCCTGCAATTATTTATATAATATATAATTTGATTTCCAGTTTTATAATTATGTGTTATAACGGAGAGTAGATTCGCCCGCGTTATTTTGCGAGAGATTATATATTATTTTATACGGCTCGAAACGGGTGTACCGCAACCGCGCGAGAATGTGCCCGGAAACTTAATCACGCCTTAAGGCCCGCAGGAGCGTCGTGGGCATAGCAGCTAATCCCTAAATAAAATCACTGACGGAAAAGCGTGGGAAGTTGTAGAGTCAGGTGTAAATAAAAAAAAGGAGGTTACGCAAAATAGGTGATATTTATATATATCTTATAAGTTTACAAGGAAAGCAATGCAGAGATAAAGAGAGAGAGAACGATTAGCTAACGAGAGAGTGGCAAGGTACGCAAGTAAGTACTTACAAAAGTGCGTCGGGCCACCGATGAGCCTTGTTAAATATTCGACTGCCTGGAAAACAATCACCCCGTTCGCACGTGAATTGTCCTGCGCACTATCTTGATGCACAGCACACTATACTCGGAATCCGGCTTCGATTATCTACCGCCGCTGAGCCAAAACGAGATGTCTGTATGCAGAAGGGCGATGTCGCGATTTTCTTTTCTTGAAAGCCAGTCGGCAAGAACACGTGCTTTCTCTAACGCGAGTCTCGAGCTAATGTCGCGGCAACGTCCCCCCCACTCTCTCTCTCCTCTACTCTGTCGAACCTAAGTCGGTTCTTGTCGCGCGGCCGTCTCTCTCTTACCTCGCACGCTGTAGTCTGCTGCGACGGCCACATCCAGGCTTCATACATATAATTACATGAGAAGGTTTAAATGTGAATACATAAGTATATATATATATAAGTAGTTGTTAGAGAGAGAGAGAGACATAACGAGTGATTTATCGCGCGTTATATCCCCCTCCCCCCAGACGTTGGTAACGCCGGCGGTACCCACTCGATACCTTGATCTCTCTCGTCCTGGGAAGAAAACTACCAGGAATATATGAAAGGCAAAGACTGCTAATCATCGAGCAGGTCGATAACTGTAATGGTTTAGGACAAAATGAGTATAACAACTAGACTGGATAAGGAACATAATCTTTTATTACGAGTAGCCCCCCTATTCTCCCTCTCTTTATTTACAGATCTTACAGATTAGGACTGAGGCTATGCCCCCAAAAAAAAAAAATTACAATGAGTCGTTATATAAACGCAAAAAGCAAAACGCATAACCGAAGGCAATGGCCAAAAAAAAAGGGAAAATGGTGATCTCTCGGCGAGGGGTCGTCCTCTTCAGTCCTCGGCGTAGCCAAAGAGGCATGGGGACGGCTACTGAACGGTTCTCTAGTGGAAGGCTCTGGGGCCGTAATCCTTGAGGTAATCGTACCGGTCGGCCAATCCCAGCTCGAACTTCCAGTGCTGGAAGAAGTTCGGGCAGTTTTCGGTCCTGCTTACACCGGTGAGGTTGCAGACGAAGCAGTACCTGACACCTCTTTTTGGCACGTTAGGCCCGTCCCACTTGCCACAGGGCTCGGTAGCCTGCATGTGTTTTAACGCGTGGTGCTGAGGGACCAGGTTCAGGTTGCCCTCGCAATAGTGAGCGGCTTGGGCCCTATGAGCCAGCTCTCGGCGTTGATCGAGAGAGAATTGGATCTCTCTCGACGCTAGGTCTTCGGCTTCGGCGGCAGGATTGGAAGGGACCTTTAACACCCTGGCAGGCACGGAAAGCGGTTTGACTTCCGCCTCCAGTAGGTTTAGCTGGGCTAATTGGCGTTGGATTTCCTCTCCCTCCCGGCGCTTTAGTTCCTGTAGCTCCAACAGGCGAACTCGCTCCTTTTGTATGCTTTTCGCCTTATCCCAGCGAGACGCGGCATCGGCCAGAAAAATGCGGCGCTCCAACTCGTCCTGGATCTTGCGGATTAGATCTTCGGGGGCGAGGGCCCGGATCCGCTGGTCGGGATGGTTGGCCAAGGCTAGGGCCTCAGAGTAGGCCTGGCCTTCGTCTTGCTCGGCCTTACGGCGAGCCGCGCGAAGGTCTTTTATCTTTTGCCTAACGGCCGACCATTGTTCTTGGGGGGAGACGGCATTGGCCATATCTCCTCCTTGGCGGGCCGAGGCCGTAGGGGCCGGGAGAGCCGGTACCCAAGGCTTGGCTAGGGCCTCTCGGACGGGTTGTCGACCACCAGCCGTATCAGCCCAGGTGAAGAGCAGCTCTTCGATGGATGGGAGCTGGGGAATCAGCTCAGAAGGGAGTGTGGCCGTTCGCAACGCCATTTCGTTGACCAGTTCCAGAAGCCGGGTGGCAACGAAGCGCGGAACCTCGACCTTAACGGTCTCTGGCTTGCTGGATGTTTGCTTTACTGGTAACATGATCTGTAAGGAAGGTCGTCGTTTATAATACATGTTCGGGTAATTATATAATAAGTTCGAGGAGAAACAGAGACATAGCTAATTGTATAAAGAAGCGTTAGAGCAGTAGGAAGAGTTAGTGACAAGGCAGCGTCTATTCACTAATGACTACGATGGGGGATTGTGTCTCGAACGTAGTCGGCGAGGTGAAAGAGTAACTGGCGGCCACGCAGGCGGTGGATTCTGGGACTTACGGGGTCTGCCTCTCCTACGTGGGGCTACCGCCTCCCGAGCGGGTAGAGCTTGACTTGAGTCTGGTTGAGAAGTTAGGTCAGCCGTAGGAGAAGGCGTAGCTGCTGTAGTAGAGTCCTGAGTCGCCGAATGACCCGCTGCCCCTGGGCTCCTCTCCCGAATAGTTGAATTATATTGCCCTTCCGTGTTGTCTACCGATTCTGAGGGGGCATCGCTAGGGAATTGTTCCTTGTCGTTACATATTTTCAGCTGATTTACCGCTACTTTTCCAATATCTATTCCATTTTCTGATTGGAGCAGGTAGGAATTCATTCCCAGGCGTTTGGCCACGATGAACGGACCACAGAATTTAGGGCAAAGTTTGGCGGCAATGGCTTTAGCCGCTGAAGAGAGAACGTGATTTTTCGCCCAGACTTTGTCGCCAACATTATAGACGACGTCGCAATGGCAGTCGTTAAAGTACTTTTCTTGTCGCGTTTGCGCGGCCTTGCTATTTTCCAGAGCTCCGGCTCGTACTTCGACGAGTTTTTCCTTACGGTCGCGCCATTCG